TTCGAATCCTTATCGAATACGAATATGAATCAAGGGTATTCGATTCGTGAGTTTGACAAATATATTCGGAATATAAATCTAATTATACAAATTATACAAATTATATATATATATATATATATATATCAAATGGTTATAAAATATTTTAAAATCTAAATAAACTGAATAATTTTAAACGAACCGAATATATTTAAACGAGCCAAATATTTAAACGAACCGAATATGTTTAATATATTAAACGAACCGAATACGAATCTTAAAAAATATTCGAACCGAATTCGAATTCAAATTCGAATATCACTCCATCTTAACGAACATGAATATTTTTCATGAATATTCGATTCGATTCGGTTCGTTTACAACCCTATTTAGAGTATGAAGTATTAGCACTAAGGACACCTTGAAAATGCACATCTAGCAGGTAAAGTTCCTCTTATGCATATCATTCCCGAGTCATTCAGTCTGAAATTAGGCAGGGAGTAATTGAAGGTAAAAGTTTGCAAGCCCTGAAACCCCAAATCCCTTCTACAATAGATTGGCTCTATGAGGAAAAAAATTACTCCGTAAGAAACAGAAAATGTCATTTAGTCATTTGGCACATCAGTATTCTAAAGAGGGTTCGTCTTGTCTTTTGACTCTTTTCTATCAAGGAATCACCTCAGAAAGCCTCAGAATGCTTCTCTCTAATCTGAGAAGCTGGAAAACATCTCTTTCAGACATAGACTCAAGATGGCCGTGCCCTCATTCAGCAGAGTTCACAATATGCAGTTTTATTTCAATTGAAGGACAGAAGCACCATATTAGATTGTGACTTGTGAGAATATCCTCAAGTCAGTTAGAGAAGTGAAGTAATTTAATACTCCATACTTTATATGCTAGATTGATTAACAACATGTATGCATATAAAATCCAAAGCAAAGGGGAAAAAAACTAAACACTACTCGTTACTCATGGAGTTACCCCAGTTACCTATAGTTTGGTTAGCTTTCCTAGGATTTCCAATGGCACAATAGCTATAGAGAAAAATTAATCCCAGCCCCCAATGATAAAGTTATAAATTACATTATAGAAACCCAGGAAATACCTATTCTAAAACTTTGATGGGTTAACAAAATAGTTATCGAATTTCAACAGTAAGGTCCTTCCGTAAGAGTAATGTCCAAGGATCATAAATTTAATTTTTGAAATAAATCCATAAAAAAACTAAATGCATCATTGTATGAATACCAAACTTAAGGGCACACCTCCATGGGAATTCCATCGAACTATAGTGAAATTGTGAGGAGATATAAAGTTAAATGAAGAAAGAAATGGCCACAAAATACGCTTCAGACTAAGGATATTCTTACTCAAAACATGTAACATCAGCACATCACACACAATTGGAAACTATCTTAAGCTGAACCTTAAGATATGCACTTAACAGTCTTAAAGAGTGAGTCAAACTCACATTATTCAAACTTGAGGAGAACAAACAAGAACAAGAAGTTTGAGTTCTCACTCACCTGCATGACCTCCTCAAGAAGCAGAACATGAGTGAAGGGATCTCTTTTCTTGGACAACACCCTCTGTAAATGCCAGATTGCAACAACAATGGAATGCAACTGATCCATACAAGAGCTCATCCTTTGCCACAGAGCTTCCTTTGCCTTTGCGCTTCCTCCAAGCTGGGGGGTCCCGCTCCTCTGTACACCACCCGGTCCATAGCCACCGCCTGCAGACACTGCCTTCATATCCAATGATGTGTTTATACTCTTCACACCTAACCCCTTGTACTTGCTAACCAGTCCATCCACAGTCCCTCTCAGTTCCCCCATGTTGTAAAACACTTGCAGGCCAGCCCCTACATCTGCCTGGTTCAGATCCTCCAGCCCTTTTTCCAGCACACGCATTCCTTCGCTTCTCAATTTCTGCCCGATTTCAGTTACCCATTTCAGCTCCGCGTCCACTACGTCGATCCCGGACAAATGGTACTCGTTGTGGAGCGAGAGTATCTCAAAATGAAACTGGGCAGCTTTTGATAGATCGAGCTTCTCGTGATCTGGGGTTGAATCCATGAGATCGCGCAGCTTCTTCGATAGACGGAGGAAGCGAATTGTGGACTGGAGAAGCTCGGTGGTTGAGTGGAGGTTGGAGAGCTGGACAGTTTTGGCTGCAATGACGCGATGTGGATCGGAGAGCTCAGACCGGACTCTCTGTAGAGAAGATTGGAGGGAGGAGACGGAGGATCGGAGGGAGGAGAGGGCGGAGTCGGCGGCGCGGATGGAGGAGAGCTGGTTGAGGAGATCCTCGTGGCGGGAGAGGACTTCATGGCGGAGCTGGTTGTCGAGGAGGCGGAGGCCTTCCTGCAGCTTCTCGATGCGAGATGCCGCAGATCCGGAGGAGAGAGCGGCGGAGGAGAAGCGGGCCGAATCAAAGTCCGGCAACAGGAATGCGGAAAAGATTGGGTCGGAGGCTAACAGATTAGCCATGGCTGTGACGTTAAAGAGAACTGAAGAAAGGAAGAAGGCATGGGAAATGTGAATAAAACATTAAAACTCCTTAGGGGCATTTAGGGCATTTACAACGGCGCCCGGATCCAATCCGCCGCAAATTATACCGTACATCCGGCTGTACGGGAAGAACCGTACAGCCGGAATTTAATTAGGGCGAACGGGGGAATTAGGGCAAGAACCGGCGAATTGATCGGCCATGAAGGAAGCTGCGCGATGGTTGGATTCCCGATCGGCGATTTGCGGATGAAGGTCCGGCGATTATGATGAAGATGAAGGTTGTTTGAAAGTCCGATCGGAGGAGGACGATGAAGTGATCCGCGATCTGAAAGTTAACGATGGTATTCTGCTTCCAAGCGATGGTCTTGGACTTCCTACCAGATTTCAAACTACATATGAATGGTACATTAACGGTAGATTATTTAAGATTGAGTACTAGTTTATATGGAAATGAGTACTAGTGGGTTTTAGAATGAACATTATGTTATTCGTAAATGAATATTCAACAAATTTGTAAAAATTAGTACGACATTATTTCTGAATGAGTATTGTGTTATTTCAAAATGTGTACCACACTTTTCAAATTAACCATTATGATTGTGCGAGAATGAGTACTACTATACTTCGGAATGAGTACTACATGGATGTACCTATCTCTAGGTACATCCGGATGTACCATATACACCCGCTCCAATTTACAGTGGCATTTACATGCACTTCTTTAACTTTTTAGTTTTTGTAATTTTAATTTTAAACATGTTAAAGTTTTCCTTTTATTTATGTAGAATTTTGTAATTTAAAATTGTATTCACTTATTTTTATTTTTTTGATTGTTACAATTCTTTTTTATTTTTCTAAAAAATTAATCCTTTTTTAAATAAAAATTTGTATTAAATTTATATAAGTTTTGAATTAAAAAATGATGAATAATATAAAAACAGAGATGCGAATTTTCAAGGCAATATCCTTGCAGAGTTTTGGAGCAAAGCGAAAGTTAGTAAAATATTGATTTGACAAGAGCTAAGAGTTGGGGCGGGCGGATTTTGGTCATTGTAAATGCTTTAAAACACTAGGCCAAGTTGGGAAGACTATAGAGTTAAAAAAAGGATGTCATTCAAAAGTCAAAACAACAGATATAAACATTATTAGACCAATGTTATAGCGGGCTTGACGGGACTTGGCGGGTTGTAAAGATGTATGATGTCGAGTGATAAAAAATACAGAGTATGTGTTATGGTGAATGTGAATGTATTTTAAATTTTAATTAGTTGAAATAAAAAATAAATGGAAAGGACCATGCCGGGATGGCCATCATGGAAAAGGGGCCACGCCCCTGCTGGCAGGTGTAATGGCATGAAGGAGGCAGGCGTGAGGGAGGTAGTGACACCCTCCCTCGTGCATGATAAGGATGGTCTCATGGTGAGCGTGGTAGAGTATGGTACAATATTTGGTTCATTCCGGTACAATAACAGGTATTTCGATTCGGTATGAGCATTGACGTCGAATCGATCTCAACTTTAAAGTATCAGTTCGATATGATTCGTTATAGTTCGATTTCGATAAATATGTCAAGAAACCAGCTCAACCAAAAGATCAAGCTTATGGTTGTGGCCTAGGAATGATTGTTATATACCCTAACATGCCCCCTTCACGTGTAGGCGTGACCTCTTTGAGCCTTGCACGTGAAACCTTAATTTTTTCAATCTGGATGGCGGTGAGTTTCGAACTTGTGACCTCTTAGTCATAAAGGCTCTGATACCATGTCAAGGAACCAATTCAACCAAAAGCTCAAACTTATGGTTCTGACCTAGGAATGATTGTTATATTCTCTAACAAAATATTAGGATGAATATATACCATTGTGTATTTGGGTTTGATACTCTTTGCTTGAATTTTTTAGGATTGGGTTTCATACTTAAAATACATTTTTCCTCCGCAGCATACTTAAGAGCTTCTTAGTCTACATGTTAATAACACAATAAATACAGTATAATAGAGCAAATTCCCAAAAACATAGGCTAAACTCCATCATTGGTCTTTCAACTTTATCAATTCTGCACGATTAGTCCTTCAAGTTTTAAAAGTCCATAAATAGTCCTTCAACTTTATGATTTATGCACAATTGGTCCTTTAAGTTTTAAAAGTGCATAAATAGTCTTTCAAATACATGTCAGTCCTTCAGATGAAGTCCTTTTGACAGTAAATGTTAAAAACTAAATGGAATACTTGCCCCATATAATATAGAGTAGTCGTACCTAGTGGAATTTACTCGTATTATATGAAACTAGTATTTCGTTTAACTTTTAATATTTACTGTCAAAAGGACTTCATTTGGAGGGCTGACGTGTACCTGAAGAACTGCTTATGGACTTTTAAAATTTGAAGGACCAATGGTGCATAACTCATAAAGTTGAAGGACGATTTATGGATTTTTGAAACTTGAATGACCAATCGTGCACAACTGATAAAGTTAAAGGACGATTTTAGCCCAAAAACATATCACTAATTCACAGATTTCCATTCTAGCAAACGAAAATTGAAGACAAATGAGCTGATTGACTTGTATTTTCCAGGTGTGTGTTTGTGCTGAAGAAAGTGTTCTAAGAGAATGGCGTCATGACTCGTGAGATGGCCATAGAAAGGTATGAACCCTAGGCCCACCTTGTTGTTTTTTTGCTTATCTCTGATTCATGCCAGATTAGATCAAACTTGTAGGCAAGAATAAGACCAGATCCACATTTGAATGATTCATACCAGATTGGATCTTTAACAATTCAGATTGAATCTTGCAATGTTGAGTACCAATTTATCACTTTTGTGTGGTTTCAGTTTCTTTCTGCAAATAGTGTTGACGAAATAAGATCAGAGGCCGCAAAGGAAAAAAAAACAGCAAAAAGACAGACCCCATTTCAGCAAATTCAACTATGTAAGTTATTTACAATTCAAATTTCATTCTTTTTGGTGGACAGTTCCCATCTCTCGTACTCCCTCGGTTCCAAAATAGGGTTCTTAGGTTGACTTGACACACGTCTGACGTCTCAAGAACATTGATATTGGGCCTATTTGGGAATAGCGCTATCTATGGACAGTTTTTAGTGTTAACATTTTCTAAGTAATCTGTACCGTAAAATTTTATCCAAAACGCTAACGCTAATCTCTAACACTATTCCCAAACAGGCCCATTGTGTAGTTGATACTTATTTGGAGGGAAAATGATATAATACGAAGTGCAAACCGAATAGTTCTCTCCTAAAAAAGATCATGAACCTTAGTCTGAGACAAATATAAAAGGAAATATTCTACCCATTTTAGGCAAAACTTATCTTTTAACTGGTGTTGTCAACATTGAAATAGGGAATTCAATTGTCATGTGAGCATTCGTAATCTCTTCCTTTTAAGCCTCATTTGGTAACAACCTTTTCAGTTAACGTTAGCATTTTGGATTATGTTTTAATGGTGCAGATAGCTAAACGTTGCCGTTAAATAGCATTTCAAATCATTGAAGTTGTTGCCAAACGGACACTTTAATCTTATTTGTCTTGTACAAATCTCAATTACGACAAACTTGCTGAAACTAATGACAACTGCGGGTTCAGATGAGTTTAAGTGCGGGTTTCCATCAAATGCCGGATTGTCAGTAGTCTCTTATAAATGGTGGGGAAGCAAAAGCTGTGATGGTGGTGGGTATAATAAAGAGGAAGAAGAAGACGGTTCCAAAGAAAGAAAGCAACTGTTAGTAGATGCCATAGACAAATCTGAGTTTGAAACAGGTAATGATAAAACTCATAGAAGCAAAAGTGCAGATTCCATGAGAGGAGGCAGTTTACTTTCTCAGCTGAGAGAAGAAGCTGCCAGAGAAGGGAGAGAAGCCATGAGTAAGGTTGGAGTCTATCAGGGGAATGATCTGTTCAAGCTAGAAGATTTTACCAAAAAGAAAGGTGTTTCTTCAACTATTTAAATCTTCATACCCACATTAATTTGGAGGGCTGGCCTAGAGTGATTTTGAATAGCTTTGTGCTCAACAGTTGGGAATTTAAGATGCCTGAAAATGATGTCCTATGATATGATTTTTAGATGCCTTAGAATTTTTCTTCTTTGTTGTAACAACAACAACAACCTAGTTAAATCCCACAAGAGTAGGGTCTGAATAATAGTAGAGACTGGAAGGATGATGACTTTAATAATAATTTTGTATTTCCCATATACGGAGTATGAATTTCTTGACCGTAAATCAACTGCTTTGATTAGTTTAGTTTTCTAGTTTGTTTTTGTTGAGAATTTTGATTGTGCCATGGGTGATGATATTTTGAGTCTTCATCATCATATATGCCCTTAGGCCATTTTCTTCATCTGGTTTGATTTCTTCTGATCTAATTGGAATAAGTTTTGATTTCTTTTGGTCTGATCTGATGTGATTGTAGTTATATTTAAAGTTGTTTCTGGTCTGATTTGATTCCAATAAAAATAAGTTGATGAGAACATAACCTTAGTGTACACTACTAATTTTTAATCACAATATTTGTTGGGATGACAAAAGCAAGTGTCGAAAAACTTAGTGTGCATCCTTATAGAGCATCTCCAATAACAAGTGTAAAAAGTGTTAATGTATATTCTATTTTACACTATCACTAGTTATGTACATCTACTCTCTCTGTCCCATTTTCTATAGCATGTTTTACTTTAGGATGTTTAGTTGAAGTAATGTTTCCTTCAATTTATAGAACAATTATGGTGGAATGAAAAAAATCTTCATATTTAAAAATTACTCCGTACACCAAAAGTTCTACTTCCTCCGTCCCAAATTATAATGTCTGTTCACTACTCACAAAGTCAAACTTCATTCACTTTCTTTCTCTATTTTCGTTAGCAATTTGATAAAATAAAGCACTATTGTCACTACTAGTTTTGTATATTTTTTGATATAGTATTTTAATATGTAATTTTTATTTTTTTAACTCTATATCATTTGTCATATAAGTGCTTATATGACTATTGATGGCAAATAATATTTGACCTAGTCTAGATTCCCTAAAGAATGGAAAAGATTTGTAAAATCAGATAAATTATTCAAGACATAGTGATAAATTAAAGGTGTGGATAGAGGGACATTTGAGGACATATTAAGTGCTTCAAGAGCTTAGAAGCTCTCCATTAATACGTAGTAGCTTTTTACCTCAAGATATGTGTACACCTCTCGATATTAATAAAATCTTCCCTTTGTCAAGATACAACTGAAAAAGGCTTGTGATTTTCTCTCAATTATGTTTCTACGTAAAAATCCATGCGTTTGCATTTTGGTGTAATTTGTTAGACTAATTTATTATTTTTGGCCGGCTAAGAATGATAGGTTGGTCGAGAAAATTTACACCATCAATTATATTAATTTATCAAATGACTAACAAAAATAAATAAATAAAATGAACAATCTTGACTTTGCGAATAGTGTATAATACTTTTTAGTACTCACTCCGATTAAATCTTCTATACCCTTGCAAGTTGCACCTCACATTCACTCTTACTTTTCTTTACTCTCTTTATCTCCAAAAACTACATGATGGTTCACACGTTCAAATTATATCTTCTTTTCTTTTAGATTTTTATTAATTATTTGAAAGATCAAAATAATATTGTTACTTATTGTTTTGTTAAATTTTTAAAGTAATTTTTAATGTATAAAACCTATTTTCTAATTTAACATTAGTTTCATAATTAATTGTAAGACTATTTTATCTCTGAGCTTCTCACTTAGCTTGAGTGGTAGGAAATATATTCCTCAAGATTGATGAGAACCTTACCCAGGTTTGTGTCTAACACAAGATTGATGCATCGGCTCGTTGTTTGTAATTAGGTTAGGAAAGTATGGAGAAATAATATAATGTACTTGAGTCAATAGTGTTAGAATAATATACTGATAAATTTACTCAAGAAAAATGAAAGATACAATAGTGTATATATAGAAAGCATTTCTTACATAAGTAGAAACCAACTCGATAATAAAAGATCACTGATAAATAAATACTTCGCATTACTATAATTAATACGAAGTACTGCATTATTAGTGTCTAATGTCAACTCAAACTTAGTCTAGCGGAAGTAATAAGAAGTATGGGCACTAGGAAGTAGGAACGGAAATGCTGTGAAGGGTGAAAGGTTGAACTTAAACTTTAAGTGGAATCAAGACTAGAGTAAAAATCAAAAGCGGGGAGACACATCTTTAGTTATAAAGGTCGAATGCATCCGAACTTTAACAAGAAGGGAAAAGGCTGATTTGTTTTATTAGCTGCTCTGTTTGACTGGAGATTTTCTTCTTGGATCTGGGTAATACTCTGTTTCTTCATCGTCAGATTTTCTTGGCCGTGGTACAATGGAGAAATCTTTCCTCAATCGTGAGAATCTTTTATAATTTTTTGGAGGGTATCATCAATTGCACCCCAAGTTTATTTGATTTTGGAGTCAAAATTTTGATTTCAAAGTTAATTAAACTTGGAGGGTGCAATTGAACGAAGGGTGAGTTTGGGTTGGAGCAGGGCGAGAGGATTAACGGAGGAATTATGGCGTAAAAATAATCAGTTTTATGAATGAACATTGTAGTATTGTTCGCAGGTCATGGGAACTCTCCCAAATAAATCCTTCCTTCGTCACTAAAAGAATATTTCCTTTCTTTGATTAACGTGTAAAATTCTGTGACTTTTAAAATGATTTTATATACAAATTGAAATTTTAAATACTACATAAAAACTTTATAAAATAGGAGATGACAAGAATATTTTATTTTATTAAATAATCAATGAAAACATGCAAACAAGTACTCCATCCGTCCCTAAAAATATGAGGTAATGTGATTTTTAAGTGATTTAAGAGAAGTGTATTTTGGTGTTGAGTTTCCAAAAATATTTTTGGATGTTGCGGATAAAAATATGATTTGATAGATTGATTTAGGGCCGAGCCCATGATTTATGGGGCCCAAATATTTTTTTAATTAACCCAAAACCCAAAGCCCCAACACTCCAGCCAGGTATGGTCCAGCCTCTAGAGCTCTAGACAGACGACCGACGGCCACCACCTAGAGAGCAGTGGCGGCCCTAGTGCCCCACGGACGTCTGCAATTCGATTCCAGACTTTAAGTCCATATTTCGCCCAAACTAGCATCCCAAGAGGTAGTCTTTATCCTTAAGTTTGAATCTGAAATATATGATTTATTTTGCATTTATTTTTCTATGCATTTGGGTTGTTTTGCATACTTTGTTTTGATATACTGCATATTTTATGAGTACATTTAAAGTTTAACTTGTAGTTCTTTTATAGCGTAAATCATTTCTAATTTCATAATTGGAAATCAATTTTTTTTTTTAGAAATTTCATTTCAGTAATGGATTCTTGATTTCTTTAGAGTATTCAAAAAGATTAAGAGTTTAGTTTTGAGGTATTCATAATATAATTCAGATCTATTCTTCATTTTTTATTCATATCCATTCTTCATTCTTGGAGTATACTAGACTCGTACCCGTGCATCGCACGGGTGGTAGGAAATATATTAACATTAGTTTCTAATTTAACATTAGTTTCATAATTAATTGTAAGACTATTTTATCTCTGAGCTTCTCACTTAGCTTGAGTGGTAGGAAATATATTCCTCAAGATTGATGAGAACCTTACCCAGGTTTGTGTCTAACACAAGATTGATGCATCGGCTCGTTGTTTGTAATTAGGTTAGGAAAGTATGGAGAAATAATATAATGTACTTGAGTCAATAGTGTTAGAATAATATAATGATAAACTTACTCAAGAAAAATGAAAGATACAATAGTGTATATATAGAAATGCGAAGCAGTGTACACCGNTCTTGGAGTATACTAGACTCGTACCCGTGCATCGCACGGGTGGTAGGAAATATATTAACATTAGTTTCTAATTTAACATTAGTTTCATAATTAATTGTAAGACTATTTTATCTCTGAGCTTCTCACTTAGCTTGAGTGGTAGGAAATATATTCCTCAAGATTGATGAGAACCTTACCCAGGTTTGTGTCTAACACAAGATTGATGCATCGGCTCGTTGTTTGTAATTAGGTTAGGAAAGTATGGAGAAATAATATAATGTACTTGAGTCAATAGTGTTAGAATAATATAATGATAAACTTACTCAAGAAAAATGAAAGATACAATAGTGTATATATAGAAATGCGAAGCAGTGTACACCGTAATGAGTCAAGAAATAATACAAACCCACCTTCCTCCCTAACTCTCTCTTCCCTAAAAAAAACCCTAGCTTTTCCCCTTTTCACGTTTCCTTGGTCGCCGAAGCCATAACTGGCGTGCAGTTCATCCCCTAGCCTTGGTTGGCATTTGATACACCTTGTATCAAGTGGTGCTCTCATTCCCGACCTCATGGCAGCTTCCTCTGGATTCCTCAATGGTGACCTGGGCTGATATCATGCAAGCGATAATTACAAGCTAACAAACTTTGTGTTGCGGAGATCGCAGCCAATAAACATCACGTTGTGGACGTTCGTAGGCCTCAATCTGTTCCTTCCTAGGCCGGCTGGCGGGCCACCACCATCACGCACAACACCGCCATCATTTGACCTGGCACCGCTTATCCGCGTGGATGCGCCACGCTTCTCAGGAGACGATACCGGATGGATTTTCTACGTACAAAAGTAATTCGATTTTTTCTTGATGCTGGAGCCCGAAAAATTATAGTTGGTCGCGGTGTTGATTAATCATCCGGCTTCTGAATGGTTCCTTTATTAACAAGCAAATAATCGTGAGGCTACTTGGCAGGAGTTTTTAGAGGCAGTTCATCAACGTTTTGATCTGGACTACTACGAGAATTACGTGGGGTTATTATCCAGACTTCACTTACACAAACATTCACCATCCTGGAATATCAATCTGCTTTCGAAACTATTCTCAGTAAAGTGTCTGAGGTCCCCGATGCCATGTTGATTGTGATGTATGTGGTCGGGCTTAAACAACCGTTACATCGTGAGGTGAATCTCCGTTGTCCAGCAACCCTTCAAGCAACGTTTGCCTTGGCTAGGGAGCTCTCGGCATGCCTTTAAGAGGTGGTTGTTTCTTTTGACACTGTGGGTCGTTGTCCATGGCAGACATGTCCCGCTTCTGCCCTAACAGCGGGCCTTCTTCCCACACCAAGCCATGCAGCGGAGCCGTACTCTTCCCAACCACACCACACTGACAAAGCTTCGTCCTTACCGGTGGTTTGGCTAACACATGCAGAGAAAACAGAACGGAGTAAGAAAGGCTTGTATTGGTATTGTGATGAAAAATGGACTTCGTCCCATAATTGCAAGCACCGTTTTCTAGTTCTCATGGGACCGGACAATGACGAGGAAGGGTCAAATTCTATGGAGAATATGGAGTTATCAGCGGATGCACCGGTGATTTTGACGGATGTTTCTAGCATACATTCTTTGGCGGGCAGCGTGAGCCCTCGCTCCTTGCGGCTGGCCGGTATAATTTAATATGGGGTGGTCCAAGTCTTTTTGGATGGGGGCACACACACAACTTCATCCATCCTGCGGTGGCCGAGCAGTTGGCTTTACCCTTGCAACCGGTCTCCCCATTCCACATTTATGTTGGTAACGGTGATTCTCTACGTTGTACTTATTCGTGCCCACATACATTGTTTTCTTTGCAAGGCCATTGTTTTGAAGTTAATTTATACTCCGTATCTCCTAGCGATTCACAGACTTGATGTGGTTTTGGGTGTTCAGTGGTTGCAAACATTGGGGAAAGTCGCCCACGATTATGCGCAAATGACTATGGGGTTTTCATGGAAAGGTGGTATGGTGACGTTACGAGGTGACCACACCCGCACCCAGTGACGTATAGCCAATTTTGCACGTTTGTGGCAACCTCGGATGCCCAAGATTTTTATGAGCTACTACTGACTGATTCAGAGCCACCTGGCGAGCAACCTGTGAGCACCTCGAATTGCTCATTCTGGCGGCGGTGCTGGAACCAGTTCGGGCAGTTTTGGTGGCTTAGTCAGCCGTTCATGAGGGGTTGCCGTCGTCTCGGTGTTCGTACCATCACATTCATTTGGCTCCAGGAACCCAACCCATAAATGTTAGACCGTATCAGTACCCCTACTTTCAAAAAAATGGAGATTGAACATCAAGTATGAAAGATGCTTAACCAAGGCCTTATTCGCCCGGGCCATAGCCCCTTTTCGTCCCCGGTTTTGTTGGTACATAAGAAAGACGGCACGTATCGTCCCCGAACTGACCCGACCCGAACCGATTATACTCCCTCCGTCCCACTCTTTTTGTCCACTTTCATTTTTGCACACCATCCAAGGCACTTTTTTAATCCATTTTATCTTGTAATTTGTATATTAAAAAATTATAAAAATTATATATTAATAATCTATATGTTAAGACAAATCAAACAAGATCACACATGACTATTTTTAGACTTACACATTGAGAGAATTTGATGAGTCAAAGTGCTTAGATTAACAGTTCCAAAAGTCAAAACTGGACAAAAAGAGTGGGACGGAGGTAGTAACATATATCCGAAATAGACCCGAACCGAAAAGACCCGACCCGGACCCGAACCGATTGACCCGATTGCCAGGTCTAGTTACAATGTGTTTTGATTTATTAACTATTGCTTGACAAAACTAATTCCACATCCTAAAAATAAATTTCCAAACACAACGACAAATGCTAACACTAGCATACAACCTCAGCCCGTGCGAAGCACGGGGTAGAAAACTAGTTGACTCGTATTTTCCAGGGGTGTGTTACGAGAAAGTGTGCTACTAGAATGGCATCGCGAGATGGCCAAAGAAAGGTATGAACCCTAGGTCCACCTCATGGCCAGCCCAATAGGAGAACAAGCAATCTGTCCGGGCCCAAAAATTTAAGGGGCCATTTTTTTAAAAATATTATATACTCCAGGTATATATATATATATAAAGGATATATGTAAAACCGAATGCCCCAATCCATCCTTTTACTTACGCAACGGAAGAAAAACCAAACGGAAGAGGCTGGGACAACCACGGAACTACTGACTGAAGAACGGAAGAAGCCGCCGCCGCCAGACGCACCGCCGGCCGCCGACCCTCAAGCACCAGCCTCCAGGTACTCCGCATTTCCATATTCCTAGCTTTCCAATTTTGTAATTCTTATTTCTTAATTTTTATTTTGAAATTCTTGTTAATTGCTATGAAATAGAGTGAATTAATGGTTTTATATGTTACTTATTTGATTTGGATGAATTGATTTAAATTTACGATATATTTGTATATAAAAAAACTGAAAACTAAAAAATTAAAGAAAAAGAAAAAAAAAGTTAAAAACTGAAAAATTGATGATTTGATATGAATTTATTATATATAAAAAAAATTTAAACTGAAAAAGAAAAAAATTTACGAGAACTTCTCGAATCCTTCTAACTTTTACGGTATGTAATTATAATACTATAATTTTGTCATTTATTTTTTTCTAATAATATTCTGTTAATAATATTTTAAATATAATTAGTTTACATATGTAAATTTGTTATACTTTTTTTTGTTTCGGCCTAGGTTGATGAATCCTCAAGACCGATCCTGCCCACCTTGTTATTTTTTCGCTTATCTCCGACCAGATTAGATCAAACTTGTAGGCTAGAATAAGACCAGATCCACAATTGGATGATCCACACCAGATTTTGATCTTTAACCATTCAGATGGAATCTTGCAATATAGAGTACTAGTTTATCACTTTTGTGTGTGGTTTCAGGTTCTTTCTGCAAATAGTGTTGACGAAATCAAAACAGAGGCCGCCAAGGAAAAATAACAGCAAAAAGACTAAGACTGACCCCATTTCAACAAATTCAATATTGTAAGTTATTTACAATTCAAATTTCAATCTTTATGGTGGATGAAAGCAAGTCAGTTTCTTTTCTCAGCAGGGTGGAACCAGGAAGGAAGGGTAAACTCAGCCCGATTAGCGTTTACATGGCGTTAAATCTTTTCAGGGTCAGTATGTCATTTTATCAAACATTTGTTGAACATAAAAAAATAGACACTCATAGTCTACGGTTTAAGAATGACAAACTTTTTAATGGAGGGTGAAAACAGCTCATGCTAGAGCATATTTCTACGGTCCCTATGGTGGGTGTGTTCTATCACAAGCTTGTTTAATGTGATTTCATTTTAAAAATGGAAGTGTTTTATGAAAAATAAAAAAAAGAAAGAGAAAAACTTTTAAAAAATGAAGAGCCATCTTCATTTTTAAAGTTACAACTGACTTTTTTTTAAAATTGCGGTATATGCGGTAGGAAGAACTGAAGAACAAGATTCAAATGACATAATTTCCATCGCCTTTAAGAAAAGAGAAGAGAGAGAGAGGCAGAATCGTTCGCGTGTTCTTCTCACTTCCTCTTCTAATCGACAATCGCCCTCCAATTCTGCTCTGGTAAGTTCTCGATGCTCTCTATACGAATATGTTATCATCATCATCATCTTCTTCTTCTTCTCCTTCCTTTACATTTTTATGTGGTTTTAAGAAAAGCAATTCATGCCTTTTTTTCTGTGTCAAACCTGAAGTCATCAAAGTAATAATTAAGTCCACAAGGCATAGTATTTCGTAATTAATCCTATAAAAGCATTTTTTTGTGTTTTTTTGCTTGTTTGATTCATAATTTTTTATGTTATAAGAGAGTGCATATGATTTGGTCAGTTGTGTTGTGGAAGTGATCTGCAATTTGCGGTATTTGAGTGGAATTAGAGAAGGAAGAAGAAATGCATTTTGAGTTGGTGGATATACCAACTCCTATAAAATTTATAGCATCTCTAAATTAGCAACAATTCTAATAAAATTTCAAAAGACATAATAAAATTTTAGGGAATAAGTAAGAATCAATGTCACACATAGTACGATTGACAAATAAAAAACAAAAGTTCAAGAACAAAAAAAGTTTATGGCAAAAACAAAAACATGTCATAAACAAGATGTTTTTTCCCACCATAAATACCTCTTTTATGGATGAAACAAAAGTATAAAACTGCACAAAAGAAAACATGGAAATCTAGCGATTTAAATAGTTAAAGTGAACTGAAAAAAACAAAAAAAAAAAGAAAATCTGAGAAGCTACTAGTGCCGGGAGTAGTTTTAAAAGAACCCTCAGTAATTAAAAAACTAAGATCGATTCACAACTATGTGTATAAGAAATCAAGAATAGACACAAAAATAACACACACAGTCACACATAGACAAAAACTTATCGAGTAGTTTATCCTTAATTGATGCGTCCTTGAATCTTTCAAAATTAAGTTCCACACAACAACTCGCGTACCCAACCACCTAGGATGAAAGCAAGTCAGTTTCTTTTCTCAGCGGGGTGGAACCAGGAATGAAGGGTAAGCTGAGCCCAATTTGCGTTTACAAGGCGTTAAATCTTTTCAGGGTGAGTATGTCATTTTATCAAACACTTGTTGAACATACAAAAATAAACACTCGTAGTCTATGGTTTAAGAATGACAAACTTCTTAATGGAGGGTGAAAACAGCTCATACTAGGGCATACTTCAACGGTCTCTATGGTGGGTGTGTTCTATCACAAGCTTGCTTAATGTGATTTGATTATCTGTTCTTTTTCTTTAATGAGTCAAATCTGTAATAAAAAATCAGTAGTACCTAGGTAGCCGTTGTTGTGGGAGATTGTAAAAAAAATGAACTCTGTCTTTGTCAAACAGTCCAGAAACGATCTTCAACAAGGAACCAAAAATCTCTGGGGTTTTCCTATAAGCACTCTACTACGAACAAGAAAATTGTGACCGTAATGAGCAAAAAACAAACGACGGTACTCCGTACCTATTTCAAATGTGATTGGATTTGTGTACAAAAACATAAAACCTGAGTTAATTACTCCATAGTGAATATCTCACATCCTTTGCTCCTTACCTCCGTAAAAAGTTATTTATTTATTTATTATTACAGTTTCTCGATAATTCTTATTTGTTTGCATATTTTCATTGATTATTTAATAAGATAAAATATTTTTGTCATCTTCTATTTTATAAAGCTTTTATATAGTTTTTAAATATAACATTTTTATTTTTTATTTGTTTACCAGTTTATAAATAAAATTATTTTAAAAGTCACGAGATTTAGCATGTTAATCAAAGACGGAAACTCTTTTAGTGACGAAGGGAGTATTTATTTGGGGGTTCCTATGACATGCGAAAAGAGTATTTAATATAAAGTACTGTTCGCAGGTCATGGGAACCCCCCAAATAAATACTCCCTTCGTTACTAAAGAAATTTCATTTTTTGATCAACATGCTAAATCTCGTGACTTTTAAAATAATTTTATTTGCAAATTGGTAAAGAAATAAAAAATAAAAATGTTATATTTAAAAATTATATAAAAGCTTTATAAAATAGAAAGTTATAAAAATATTCTATCTTATTAAATAATCAATGAAAATAATTTTATTTGCAAATTGGTAAAGAAATAAAAAATAAAAATATTATATTTAAAATTTTTATAAAAGCTTTATAAAATAGAAAGTTATAAAAATATTCTATCTTATTAAATAATCAATGAAAATATGCAAACAAATAAGGAGCAAAGGATGTGAGATATTCACTACGGAGTAATTAACTCAGGTTTTATGTTTTTGTACACATATCTAATCACATTTGAAATAGGTACGAGGTACCGTCGTTTGTTTTTTACTCATTATGGTCACAGTTTTCTTATTTGTAGTAGAGTGCTTGTTGGAAAACCCCAGAGATTCCTTGCTGAAGATCGTTTTAGGACTGTTTGATAGAGACAGAGTTCATCTTTTTCTACAATCTCTCACAACAACGGCTACCCAGGTACTGCTGATTTTTTATTGCAGATTCGACCCATTAAAGAAGAAGAACAAAAATCAAATCACATTAAGCAAGCTTGTGATAGAACACACCCACCATAGGGACCATAGAAGTTTGCTCTAACATGAGCTGATTTCACCCTCCATAAAAAAATTTGTCATTCTTAACCCATTGATTATGAGTGTTTATTTTTGTATGTTCAATAAGTGTTTGATAAAATGACATACTCACTCTGAAAAGATTTAACTCCCTCTAAACGCTAATCGGGCTCAGCTTACCCTTCCTGGTTTCACCCCGCTAAGAAAAGAAATTGACTTGCTTTCTTCTTAGGTGGTTGTGTATGTGAGTTGTTGTTGTTGTGTGGAACTTAATTTTGAGAGATTCAAGGATGCATTAGTTAAGGATAAGCTACTCGGTAAGTTCTGTGTGTGTGTATGTTATTTATGTGTCTCTTCTTGATTTCTTATACACATAGTTGAGAATCAATCTTAGTTTTTTAATTGCTGAGGGTTCTTTTTTCTTCTCCCGGCACTAGTAGCTTCTCAGATTTTTTTTGTTTTCTCAGTCTGCTTCTGCTATTTAAATAGCTGGATTTCCATGTTTTCTTTCGTGCAGTTCTATACTTTTGTTTCATCCTTAAAAGAGGTATTTATGGTGGGAAAGAACATCTTGTTTATGACATGTTTTTGTTTTTGCCATAAACTATTTTTGTTACTGAACTTTTGTTTTTTATTTGTCAATTGTACTATGTGTGACACTGATTCTTACTCATTCTCTAAAATCTTGTTATGTATTTTGAAATTTTTTTAGAATTGTTGCTAATTTAGAAATGCTATAAATTTTATAGGAATTGTTGGTAATTTAGAGATTTTATGCTACTTGTGCTTCAATTTGCACCTCATGTTCACGATATGCGCACATTAATTGCGCATCGAGGTGCTTGGGACCCTTTGTGCATTAGTGTGCACCGTGCCTTAAACAACTATGCTTATACAATGCTTCTTGGATTTCTTATTGTGCTTTCTCCCTCACCTAAAGCGAATTTTGTTTTTCGTATGATATTTTTTAAATTTCAGATGAGTACAAGTCTTGAACATAATCAAATACAGTTCTATTTTTAAAATAAGTCCGTCGGTAAGTTGGTTTAATGAAATTCAAAATACTTAACATTTTTGGGATACTTTTAATAAAAATTAGAACCACTAGGTATTATAAAATTTAGTTTTGCTCTTCTAATATGACTGGAAATAAGACTCTCATTGTGGGATAGTGGGACTAATTGTTTCAGTGCTATCTTGACCTTTTTAAAGAAAAAAGTTATTGTGTTTGGTACTGTGTATTACTTAGGTTCACTCTTAGTTTTATGATTTATGTTTAGAGTCAGGTCCTTTTTAAGATGATTGTAAGTTAAAAAAGAAGTGCTTACGGTTCAAGTTAAAAAAAAAACTAATACAGATATACTCCGAATGTAATGGTGTTGCTACAGAGCTAACTCTGTGTAAGAGACTATATAAATATTGTTATGAGGTTTACCATTGGCAAAAGAAGAATATAAATATTTTTATATTGATTGAGTACCCATAATATTTGGGACAAGTCAGCACATACAAGTAACCATACTATACACACATCTTCATTGTAGTACATTTATTTGTTTGGTGTCATTCTTTTACTACAGATACATCCAGGGACCAAAATCTGCTTACTTTGTGAAACTGAGCAGAGTCTCAATAATGATGGCTTTGTTCAACTCTTGTGCAAAGATACCTATGGGGTCCCACAAATTACATTTCAACATTCCCCACACACACCCTCCTAGATTTGCCACCATTCACTGCTCTGTCGCTGCACCAATCAAACGCTACTCCATCACTCTCCTTCCTGGTGATGGCATTGGCCCTGAAGTCATTTCTGTTGCAAAGAATGCTCTACATCTCGTTGGCTCTCTGGAAGGTATACCATACAGTACATCCTTTTGAGTTTTGACATATAACAAAAACACTACGAATAGACAGCACTGGTTCTCCATGTCGCTCTTAATTTGAAGTATTCCACTTGTGCAGTTAAATTGGTGCAAAAATTCCTAAATGCATACATATACCAATGTACCATACGTAATGCACATAAGTCTTCAAAACAGCGAATAAATTAATACTCAAGGATTAAATTAGCTAGATCTCTACAATGAAAATTTTCCATTTTTCCTGAACAACAAAAATCTAGGTGTTTTGGGTTTCTTAATAGTCATGAGATTTAGGGTTGAATAGTTGTTCTGAGCTTAAAATTTTTGTAGGAATTGAGTTTGAGTTCAAAGAGATGCCTATGGGTGGGGCATCTATTGACATGACGGGAGTGCCATTGACGGAGGAGACTCTTACAGCTGCAAAGCAATCTGATGCCGTTCTTCTCGGAGCTATAGGAGGGTGAGAAATGTACAATTGCTAAACAGTTTTATGTGGTTGGCCATGTTCCATGATTTGCATTGTGGCCTTGCAATATCATTTATGTATAGATTTATGAGTCAAATATCTATATGATATTTCCTGTTTGGTTCATTGGCTCATTGCATGTCACATCTCTGATAAAGGTATAAGTGGGACACCAACGAAAAGCATTTGAAGCCAGAAACTGGATTGCTTCAGCTCCGGGAGGGTCTTAAGGTATTTGCAAACCTGAGACCAGCATCAGTATTGCCACAGGTAATTTTGTCCGGATTTGAGTGAAGTGATTATTGAAGTCTTTGATGGTTCTACTCTTATTCTATTGCAATGTACCATGATGGTTGTTTTCCTTTTTATCCTTATGTAATTATGGCAGAAATTACCATAAGACAAAACAAAATCTTGGTTAGATCTGTCCAAATCACCACAAGACAAAAAAAGTTTGTGGTTAGATCTGTTCCCAGCGATGGTGGTTCGAGCCTTTTTAAAAATTATAGTTGTATTACTTTTTTTTCCATTTATTTTTGTAGAATTGCTTGTTTTGAATTTGCTGAGCACATTGATGACCTTCGTAGTTCTCATTGGGATAAAAATCATGATAGGCTTCACATATGAGTGGTTTACTTTGTAGCTCTATCTCTATTAGCACAACACTGAGAATTAGTAAACCCACTTGACCGCGGTCAATGATGGTCTGAATCTCTTATCTCGATAGAAAAACTAAAATATATGAACAAATATTACACGCATAACTATTTCACAAATCGATTGTGCTACTGTCAATTCAATCAACATAGAAAAATGTAAGGGTATCTTGCAAGTTTTAGGGGTTATTGGGTTAAGTCTTCCTAATCTTGTAGGTTAGGGAGATTAAAGTTGATGTCATGCAAAAGCAAAAGTAAACACATCGCCTTGGGGGGGAGGGGTAAAATTAAGGTTATAGTTCAAAAAAGCATTATAAACTGAATGTTATACCCATGTGATTCAGTTGGTAGATGCTTCAACATTGAAGAGAGAGGTTGCTGAAGGTGTAGACTTAATGGTTGTAAGGGAACTTACTGGAGGTCAGTTTAGATGGTCTAAAGTGGTTCACTTATACCTGTAGGCTGAAACCATCATTTGGATTAAGTTATTGCAGTTTTGTTATCTTATTTACATTTATTTTTCAAATGCGTGTGCTTCCATTTGCCCTGATTATAATGATCTGGCTTCAGGTATTTATTTTGGCAAACCAAGGGGTTTTGGCACAAATGAATTTGGTCATGAAATTGGTTTCAATACTGAGGTGTATGCAACTCATGAGGTAAAATACTAAAGTGGCTTCAGTAATAGGATTTAAATTTCTTTAATCCTATTGACAATAGATTGAAACATATTCTTTTTGCAATTGACAGTTCTTTTATACACACCTTTGGCATCATATGTCTAATTGGACCATTTTTATCTGCATCCTTTAGAATTTTGACATAAGATTCTCTTTCCAGATAAAACGCATTGCTCGTGTGGCATTTGAAACTGCAAAAAAACGTCGAGGAAAACTCTGTTCAGTTGATAAAGCGAATGTGTTGGAGGTATATAACGACATTTGATACTGGCTAATATATAGTTTTTCTTTCTCATGTGTGACTCTCTTTTCACGTTTCTGATTCTTTTCTATTTGAAACAAACATTATACTTTGTTAATGAAAAGCTCTCTGCTTGAAATGTGCACGTAATGTCGTAATCATGGTATAGGACTGGCTGAAAATTTTCACTTTTGGTCTCATGACTATACTTTCTTCCTACTTTTGATTCCTGACTTTCGTTTTCCTCACTTTTAGTACACTACGGTTGATTTATTGCCACTTTTGGTCCTTCATAGTCATTTATCAGACTAAATTCAAACAGAAATTGAGCAGAATTTGGCCCAGCAAATGTTAGGACTAAATGGGAAAGTAAATGTTAGAAATTGGGCAAGGAATTCATAGTTGTCCACCAAAAGTGGAGATTGAGTGCAAAATATGAAAATAGATGTGCCTCACCATTGATATTTTCCAGTCCTCTATGCTTTGGAGAAGAACTGTGACAGAAATGTCCAAAGAGTATCCCGAAGTTGAACTTTCACACATGTATGTGGACAATGCCGCAATGCAGCTCGTTCGCAATCCAAAGCAGGTTGGTTCATTGGGTTGTTTCTGTTTAAAACTTTACGAAGGTTTGATATTAATCTTGACTGACATTTTCTATGAGATGATTGTGAAAACAAAAAGAGATTATATTTGCATGTACTTCATTGCAGTTTGATACAATTGTAACAAACAATATATTTGGTGATATTCTATCCGATGAAGCTTCAATGATTACTGGAAGTATTGGTATGCTTCCATCTGCCAGCGTTGGAGAATCGGTATTACCACCTTTTATGCATTTCCCTTTACAAAGTCTATTTGCTATTACTACCATCATAGGCAAGGTTCTTTTGCTATACCCATTGGGTGTCAAAATATCAGACCATTTGAGGGCCCTACAGCGTACCTTTGAGCCTTGAAGTGGGTCCTACTATCCCTAACTCCCACAACCCCCCCCCCCCAACTCATTTGGAAAGGCACTTTGGCGATTCCGGGGGAGGGGGGGACCCCTTCGGGGCCAAAGTAGCACGATAGAATTCCTGTGCCATAATATGACACCCAAAACCGGCGTCAAAACTATAGTGTATTATTATTATTATTTATTATGTAGTATTATTACTAATTGTGCATTTGATCATCTCTTTTGGAAGTAGGGACCCGGATTATTTGAGCCAATACACGGGTCTGCTCCTGATATTGCTGGACAGGTTGGTAGTTTGGTTCCATAATGAGTAGTAATACTCCAATTACATCACATCCACTATGAAGAAGAGTTTCTTATCGCATTTCTTGGCTTTCGACGTGTAGGATAAAGCAAATCCTTTAGCAACGGTACTCAGTGCTGCTATGCTTCTCAAGTACGGATTAGGGGAGGAGACGGCTGCTCTGAGGATAGAGGCAGCTGTTTTGGACACTTTGAATAGGGGATTTCGCACCGGAGACATATACTCTGCTGGAGATGATGTATGTATTCATTGCATGCCTTTTATTGTTCTTTTAAGTGTCAAAAATGTCATTATTCAGTGTTTTTTTAGTTAGGAGCACATAATTAGCTAAATCTAAACGACACATTGAACTTCCCTCCCTTTACTTTCTATGAAGTTTTATGCATCTAGGGTCTAAAGAAATAGCCTCTATGTTTTCGTCTCTTTGGTTAGCCATAATTTCCATGTGGCATTCGTGATTGAGGCGGGCGTCTTTTGTTGCAGAAATTAGTCGGTTGCGGCGAAATGGGCGAAGAAGTGCTGAAATCGCTTGGAAATGTTCCTGCACTGCGCGGTGAATGACGGTTTTGCCCTTTTCGGTGTGCCTAGAAACTACTAGGGGGTGGCGTTGCGGCATCTCGGACACTTTTTGGAGGATGAGAATGTGATTTTGTTTTACTTCATTTGTTGATCTATTATGTGTGACACTAAATTTCATGAGATCAACATATTTTGATACGATTATGTGTTCAAGATTTTATAAAATATTGCATAAATAATTTAACTGCTCCTTATTCCTTGTTACTCCCTAGTTTTTTTTTTTTTTTTTACTTTTGAGAGAACTATATTTCCATTTAGGGACAAAGACCGACCACTAAAACCTCTCCCTTTCAAAGCCTCCATGGCTCCATCCATGTCATACTTTCATCACCTTATGAAATTGAAACAATTGTCCTATCATTATCCACAGGGTTTATTTCACATATTAGAAACCTGAAAAAACATTAATAGAGAATAGAAAATTGGTGTTCGTCTTTAGGGTATATCTTAGCGACAAACACCCAATGCTTGCCGGCTGGCGATCTACGGAGTGGGATTCGATTGCCAGCAATGTAGAATTAGTTCTCTCGTAAGTGAAACTAGCCGAAAAGCTATTGGAGCTTGGTTGCCTGAGGCACATCCCTTGATTTAACTCTTCCACCATCCTCGAGAGCATAGGGGTAGGGCCACCCACGGTGGGCGTTTCACTTTTTTTTGTGAATTGACATTTATTGGTCTAAGTTTCATAAGTATTTAGAGATAATAAATACAAATTTTGAAAATATTATGTCATCTCACTTTAAAAGTTGCCTAATAGACTTGACCCATGTCGTCTCCTTATTGAAGTCTGATAAAAATTTATTTATTTCATCTTGCTTATTTAAATAGAACTTAATAATATCTAGTGGGAAGAATAATGTCCAAAAATGATGGACATTTATTTGAATAATGATTAACTCATAATGACCAAAAGTCTTACATTGGGATATAAAAATATATGGTCCTATATTGGAAAAGTAATCATGTTTATAGAATAATTTCTCTTAAAAGTTCGGAGGTGTTACTTCTGCACTTCGATATTATTCTTGGTTGAGTTAGGATGTCCCCTAACTCTTTGAATCCTAAGTCCGTGGATGTCAACACAATGGAATCAATTTCAAAAAGTTTGTTACTCTAACATGCTTTGGCATCTTAATTTTTATGAAATTGAAACATGCTTTGGAATTGAACTAGGGAGTTGAAAGTTTTGTTCCACAATAACTTTTACGAGTATTTTTATCTTCGTGCTAGTATAATCATCTAATTTTACATTTTCAAGTCAATCTTGAACAAACTTTGATTTTAACTACATAAAAATTATAATGAATACTAGTATAAAAATGACTTTATTAAATTTACTTTATTGTAAATTTTCAAATTTTTTGTTTCATAATATTAATATACAATAGAAATAAAATGCATTTGATGATTAAAATTTATTCAGTTTGATTCAAAAAAGTTAAATTAGACAAATAAATTAGAAGGAAGATGAAGGGTTTTTTTGAAAAGTATTAATTGGCGTGGAACTTATTGTTAAAAAATATTTCCTATATAAAAAATGAAAAAATGGAAATATTTATGTTCAAGGATGGAAAGAAATTATAAGTTAATAACCTACCCAAATTAAAGTACTTAGTAGTATTTAATTTCTCTTTTGTTTCTTCGAACTTTTTCTCTTGCATTTATATCATTATTAAACTATTTTTATTGAGTTCATCCAGCCGGATATGATGGAGCCGATTGCAGAAGTGGTATGTTTTTTTTCCTATGATTGTTTAAATTGATTTTATTGTTTTAATGGGATATTAAATTGATTTAACTCATGAAATAATCAATTTTAATCGATTAGGTTTGCGTTCTAGAAGTGGACGTTCATTGTGATGAATGTAAATTGAGTTTGATGAGAGTGCTCGCTTCAATTTCGGGTAACAATTACTCCGTATTATTTTGATTTATGTTTAATTTTGATTTTAATTTGGATGATTCTTCTTTCTTCTTCTTTTTTTTTGTCATGTTATTTTCCTTAAATTTGGGTGGGTAAAAAAAATTAACATGAACATTTATAATCCTAGTAATCAAACAAGATTATCACTTCTTTTTTTTTTGTAAAGTTAGGATTAAATGCTTTTGACTTTAGCGTTATGACTTCTGCTTTTTAAAGAATCCACTACAGTGCCAAACACCCTTAAAGAATGAGATCTCTATCAGGTAGAAGAGTTTCATACTCCGTACTACGCATGGTCGTCATTCATTATCGTTGTCAAGAATTGAATTATATTCTGCGTAAAACTTATTGTTGTGTGTGTGTGTTAAGTTGTTAACTTTGTCGAATTATATTGTGTATAAAAATTAGGGTAATTTACCTAAATAGGACTAAAACATAATGACTTTCTCAATATAGGACCATATGTTTTTATTTTTCAATGTAAGACCATTGATCATTATCTATTAGTCATTATTCAACTAAATGTCCAGCATCACTTGGACATTATTCTTCTCACTAGTTATTAATAAATCCTATTTAGAGAATAAAAAAAGTTTAAATCTTACATTGGAAAAATGACTCATGTTTTAATCCTATTCACTGCAAATTTCACATAAAAATATTCGTGTGTGAATTGTGATATATAGGGGTATATTCGGTCGAGATTGATGGTGAAAAAGGAATGGCAACAGTGGTGGGAGAAGTGGAACCAAATGCGTTGTTAGGGGCGGTGGCAAACTCCGGAAAACACGCTCGGTTGGCCCGAGCCACCCTAAGGGATCCAAGAATGAACAGAACCAACACAACCTATGGGACATCATCATCATCATCATCATCATATGCTTCCTCTTACTCTCCTTACTATAATAACCAAACCTATGACTATACCAACAGAAACAGTTATGCTTACAATGCCATTGATCATGACCCCAGAAGCACTAGAGGTACGTTTGAGTGATATGAAATACAATAGATAACAAAAACCAGTTTAATTCGAAAGATAGGGACAGTTTGACTAAAGTGGTAAAATAAGGAGGAATAAGTTTGTGTTGACTTTCCAAAAATACCCTTGATGTGATAGGCAAAAGTAGGATGTGCTATGTAGCTTATTAAGAAAAAGGTATGATGTGATAAATAAGGTATGAAAAAGTAAGAGGTAAAATTGAGGTTTTAATAGAAATGGGAACTACTTTTGGGGACACGATTTTTTTGAAACGTGAAGAATTTTATGGAACGGATGGAGTATATGTATCTAAGATCAATGTACTACTACCTCCGTCCCAGTGTATTTGTCAAGTTTGACTTTCTCGAGTCAAACTGGACAAACTTTGAACTCCAATTACTCTCAATTTATATTGCATATTAGCATAATAAAATACAATTTTGAAAGTTCTCAATACGATCAATCCAATAAAATTATTTTTATGTTAAAATACATTACGGTTTTTATTTAAGTGAAGCTCAAAATTTGTCTAGTTTGACTCAAAAAAGTCAAACTGGACAAATACACTAGGACGGAGTGAGTATTTTTTTTTTCTCGACATTGAATTTGAAGTCGTTATTTTTCCCTTGCCTAGAATACTCTCGGTACCAAACATGCCCTAGGGCACTCTTGGGATATGGCTATAATCAAGAAGTGAACAGCTACGGGGGATATCGGCCACCGCCGGCTCAATATGCGCCGTCCTCATATCCGCCGCGAAGGGCTGATGAGTATGTAGCAGCAGCAGATCCTTCAGTACCTCTCTGCACTATCATGTGATCTGCTGCTTAATCTGCAGTTATATGTATGGTGTAAGATTATTAAAGAAATACTATGGTGTGTTTGGAAAATAGATTTTCGGATAGATTTTGGCATCTTTGACTCACTTTGGCTTTTTTCACTAAACGAACAACCAAAATCATTCTTTGGCTGATGGCTTTTTCACTTGGCATTTTGATCCGAAAAGCCAAGTCTGAAAAGCCAAGGAGAGTAGCTTTTGGATTTGGTTGTTAGAAAAACTAATCATTTTTCTTGAAAGATATTCTATAATATACTCCCTCCGTCCACAAATAAACTTCCCGTTGCGCGTTACGATGTTTGACTGAAGTTATTTTCAAATCATTTTAAATGAAAAATGATGTAAAATTTAAAAATAAAAATTACATATTAAAAAACTATATCGAAAGATCTACAAAACTAGATGCATGTGACATGACTATATTATTTTATCAAATGGATGACGAAAATAGACCAACAAAGTGAATAAAGTTTGACCTGAACGAGAACTTTATTTGTGGACGGAGGGAGTTTGTTAAAAAAAGCTAAAATAATTCAAAACTAAAAAAAATGAAATTTTAAAAATCAAAATTTCAAAACTATAAGATGATGAGATCAAAAAGTTAAAATCATTAAAAAGTTGTATATTAAAAATTTCTTATGAACTAAATGAAAGTGAAATTTAATGCTCCATATAGTAAAGATCAAGGCGAGGATGATGTGCACATATTTTATACAATTCTTAGCCATATTTTCGAAGAATTTTGAGTTACAATTAAATTTAATTTGTATAATTTAATTTTCCATTTTATTTGTTAGTGTGGATCTATGGGTGGTATATAGTCTATATACTATTTTTGAATATGTGTTAACGCCAATTTGGATGCAATTGTATCAATAAAAATAATATAATTGCTTCTTATTCTTTGTTACGTACTTTTTTTTAGTATTTTTTAATTAGAGAATCAATTTATCAATCAAAGAGCTAGTTTTCTTCTACTTATTCTTATTACTTACTCCCTCCGTCCCAAAAAGATTTACACCTTTCAAAAAAATTGTGTCCCACAATCTCCTACCTAATTCTATTAAAAAATCACTTTTACCCCTTACTTTTTCAAATCCTACCTATCACATCATACCTTTTTCCTAATAATTTAACATCACATCCTACTTTTATCCATCATATCAAGGGTGTTTTTGGAAAGTTAACACAAAATATCCCTCCCTTAATTTCTACTTTAATCAAAATAAGTAACACTTTATGGGATGAAGGGAGTATTACTTATCTTTATTACAAATACAATCAATTTAAATCTGAACCTAATTAAATATGATCTGAATCATTCAGATAAATTAAACAGAACAACCTAGAGAGTGACCACTAAAACCTTTCCCTTTCAAAGCCTCCATGGTTCCATCCAAACTAGCCCCTATGGGAATATGGGCTCTCCTACCCTCTATGTATGAGTAATCAGATTCGGTCACCTTATTACCTTGTATCCACATGACTTGGGGGTTCTCATATTTCTCACATTTACCACTTTTTTTTTCAAAAAAACCAAAAAAAAAAAAAAAAAAAAAGAGGATGGGAAGACCAAAATAGATGTCATATACTCCTATAACACTCATCATCAAGAGATGAAAAGACCAAAATTTACTATCTTGAGCAGTTCATACTAGAAATCTAAATGAACTTTATTAGAGAATAGCAAATTAGCATTCAATTATTTGAATTACCCTGAAAGATCAGTTTTCGCGAAATTTAAAGTCATAGCACTATAAACTTATATTTTTAAAATTTTTAAAAGTAACATAACATAAATGGTAAATTTAAAGTGAATAAGGAACTTTGCTTCCAATTTCGAAAAAGAGGAGAATGGAAAATAAGACATGCTCCCTCCATCTCCGAATTATTTTTCGGATTGCTTTTTCTTGGTAAAAAAATTTCTAACTTTGACCAAATAACATGGAAAAAATATATTGAGTTATGATATAAATTTAATGTCAATAGATTCATTTTGAAATAAAGTTTTAAAATATTACGGAGTAAAAAATAAATAAATCAAACAATTAAAATTTCAAAAGAGACCAAGGGGCTGTTTGGCAACTTCTGAATCGGTAAGTGCTGAACCAGTAAGAGGTCTGAACCATTAAGTGCTGAACCAGTAAGAGGTCTGAACCATTAAGAGCTAGTATATTGCTTAACTATTCAGAGGCAAATGTCTGATCAATTCAGATAAGAGGTCTTAACCATTCAGACTCTGTATAATACTTAACCATTCAGAGGCAAATCTTTTAACCATTCAGACATCTGAACCATTAAGAGGCTGAAACAAACAGTCTGAACCATTAAGTGCTGAACCATTCAGACATCTGAACCATTAAGAGGCTGAAACAAACAGCCCCAAGAGTAGCATAGCCCATTAGTCCGTATATTTTCCACATTGAATTCAAACTTTTCATTCACACTTCGGCATTTAAAAAAAGAAAAATTAAATCTTGGCACTTATTCCTTTCTTCAATGGCTGCTGGGTATTTTATTTTTCTAAACACCCGACCAAACCCGAAAAACTTTCCTCTCTTCTCTCTCTCAACAGAGTGCCGCAAAACGATTTGATTGTCGTCCGGCTGTGTCTGGGGACCTCAGAGCTCTGATTTCTTCTTCCTTCTCAAATCAATTGTTTCTTGGATCACATTCGCATATTCCCCTGTTCTTGCTTAAGCTGCGGAAGCTCTGTCTTTGGCTTCTGTGGCTTCACTGCGTTTCCCATTTCATCTCTGCATTGGCTATATACGGAGCTTATGCCTTTTGAGTCTTTGGTGGAAAAAAAGAGGCATTTTTTTTGTTTTGCTTTACTCATTTGGCTTCTCAAGGAGGAAGATCGAGGGAATTAGGTTTCTTTCTCTTTTTCCTTTGAAGAACTTTTATATCAGATCCAACCCTCTTTCTTTATCTTTCATTTACTTTGGTGTTAAGTCATACCCTTTTTTTCTTGCCTCCTGGAATTTAATTTGGCAAATCTTTCACTTCCCCACTTTTCTTTAGTTGTAAATTTTTGGGAGGATTTGAGGTATTTTGATTAATCTGTCATTTTCTTGAGTTTAGTTGAATGAGATTTCATGTTTTTGAGCAGTTGAAAGTTCTTCACTGTGTTTAGTGTTAATTTCTATCCATAATTGTGATAGTACTTTGTTTCCTACTCCTGTGTTTGGAATGTTGACTTTAGACATGGTTGCATTTATCATATTCTCCCAAAATTTGCTGAAAATGACTCAGAACAAGTGTAGACATTTGCATAGTTTTATACTTGTGTATTATGATTTCTATTTCTGCCTTAAAGTTTATGCCTTTTTAGTTGTAACAGTGGAAATCTTCCTCTCATCTAATTATCTATCTATTTCCCCCCAGATTTTGTATGATCTACTGATGAACTATATGCCATAGTTTTTAGCTTTGAAAAAAATCTAATTGCATTGCAAGACTCTGTAGACGCATTAAATCCACCTATTGTTTACTTTTCAGGGTTTCAAGAGAGCAATGGTGTGAATCTGGATTCCAAACTTAGTCGTATTTGCCTTCCCTCACCAGTTTGCTGAAAATGCCATCTGGGAATTTAAACACTGCATTATCAAAGAAGACATCTTTTTTTGGTTTAAAATTATGGGTTGTCATTGGTATCTCTGTTGGTGTGTTCATTGTTGGGATTCTGTGCCTTCTGTCACTATGGATCACATTTCAGAGAAAATATAGAAGAAAGCTGGACAGGTATTCACCTTTTGGTATACCAAACATCTCAAAGGATATCAAGGTTGACCGAGTTGGCACTGGAAGTCTACATGATCAAACTGAAAGTTTATTCCTATCCATCCATGATAAGTCAAGTGAGAAGAAGTCGGAGAAATTGATATCTCATTTAGAAAGGAGTAAATCAAGTGATGGCGATAACATCAGTCAAGGCAGCTCAATTTACCATCACGAAAGGGGCTTTAGTTCACAATCTGGAGAGGAAGGTGGTTCTGGAACTGTTAGAAGACTGTCCTGTTATGCACTTCCTATGGCCTCTCCATTGGTTGGCTTGCCTGAGTTCTCACATCTTGGGTGGGGCCACTGGTTCACACTTAGAGACCTCGAGCTGGCAACCAACCGGTTTTCTGCAGATAATGTGATTGGAGAAGGAGGGTATGGAGTTGTTTATAAAGGTAGATTGGTTAATGGAACAGAAGTAGCAGTGAAGAAACTCCTTAACAATCTGTGAGTATGAATGGATATACGGAGTATCATTTTTTTCCATGTTCTCATTCATTTATCATACAAATGAATGATTTTGCGGTTTTTCCTGCAGTGGACAGGCAGAGAAAGAGTTCAGGGTTGAAGTAGAAGCAATTGGCCATGTTCGACACAAGAATCTTGTTCGTCTTCTTGGTTATTGCATAGAAGGTGTCCATAGGTAAGCATCTTCGCTCTTTGTCCCCCCCAAAAAAGATTCCTGTTCGATTTTTTTTAGACCCAAAATGTGTCATAATTCATAAAAATGGAGCTAATTTTTCATATAATTTGTAAAAAAATTACAAACAGGGTCACTATGTTAAATTCATTTAAACCCAATATTTTAGAGGTGTACCTTGACCAAACATGCCATTTTTTTAGGTGTCGGAGAATGACTAATGAGGGTGTTTATGTTGGTTTTAAGTGTTCTTGAGCTAGTTCTATAGTTCTTCCATATGATTGACATTTATATGACACATCAATACGTCATGCTTCGATCATTCCTTTTTTTGAGAGTAGTAATATGTTTGACTTTTTGAAGGATGCTCGTGTATGAGTATGTTAATAATGGAAACTTGGAGCAGTGGCTTCATGGAGGCATGAGACAACATGGTACCATTACTTGGGAAGCTCGCATGAAAGTTCTTCTTGGCACTGCTAAGGCGTGAGTTCCAATCTTTATTTTATCTCTATTTTAGTTCCTTAAAATTATCGCCAAAGATAAATTGGTCATTGCAATTTCAGACCTACAATAGAGGACAATATGTTTCTTGCAGGCTTGCATATCTACACGAGGCTATAGAACCTAAAGTTGTTCATAGGGACATAAAATCCAGCAATATTCTTATTGATGACAACTTTAACTCCAAGGTTTCTGATTTTGGACTTGCAAAGCTCTTGGACTCTGGAGAAAGTCACATAACAACAAGAGTAATGGGAACATTTGGGTATGTTTCTTTTTTTTCATTCTTTTCTTTTCTGTTTTTGTTAAATACTAAATTTAGTTTCTTGATCGGTTTTTTTCCCAGCTATGTGGCTCCAGAATATGCAAATACTGGGATGTTGAATGAAAAGAGTGACATTTACAGTTTTGGTGTATTACTTCTTGAAGCTGTTACCGGAAGAGACCCGGTGGACTATAGCCGCCCTGCTAATGAGGTAGTCTAAAAGTTTTAAGCCTTAAATATGTTTTGCTGCATCAAAACGAAAAAAAAAATAACTTCTTTGGTAATGGTAAACCATTTATTTAGTGACAAATGCGTTTTTTTGGGACAGAAAGCAAAGATTTATTATCACACCACTAACAAATGTTCATCAAACAACGACTAGTGACAAATGTTGTGTCTTTCATGACAGGTGAACCTTGTTGAGTGGCTCAAAATGATGGTCGGACAGCGGAGATCCGAGGAAGTAGTGGATCCTAACCTTGAAGTTAAACCCAGTACTCGCTGTTTGAAACGCGCGCTTCTGGTGGCCCTTAGATGTGTGGAGCCCGACTCTGAAAAACGGCCTAAAATGAGTCAAGTTGTTCGCATGCTTGAAGCTGATGAATACCCTCATCGCAATGAGGTGCACAACATTTTTCAACACTTATGTTTTGTCCAAATGTGACCTTTTTTTTATTCGTAATGGAATTCGAACTCAGATTTTGTTAATTTTAGTTTAGGTATAACTGTCCATTATGACTTTCTACATACATTCCCAATCAAATGAATGTGGACACGATGTACGTCCAGATTCATTCAACTTGTAATGTATGTAAAAAGTCACAATTTAGGGCACACAAGAATTTAGACATGAGCTAAGTATTATATAAAACTGTTTCAGGACCGCCGGAACAGAAGAGATTCGCTGACATTAAGCACTGGGTTTGATTCAGCAAAGGATGGTTGCAGTTCGACAGATGGGGAGAAACAGAGGTTAGATAACAGCATTCCTTAATGCGTTCGTTTTTCCGGTGTTTTGATTCGAAGATTGAGAGAGAGAGATTGCTGCTTTGACAGATGATGACCACAAAGTACAATGTTGTTTTGTTTAAGATCATTACGCTTCCATTATTTTAAGGTTAATGTTGTATGATGCAGATAAAAAAAGACCATTACTTTTGTACAGTTTAACTTCTTTTTTTTTGCGTTTCCTTGTCCTTTGAATTCACAATGACGAGCAATTTAGCCCGAGTTTTTTTTTCCTTTTTGGTTTTAAATTTCTTTTTTCTTTTCGGCATTGCGACTATCGTATTTAATTAAGCTAATATGTATTTGATTGTGTTTATGGTGTTGATTGTTTTAGCGTTTTCTCGTTCTTGAAGGGTCGTTTTTTAGAAGAAGAAAAAAAAGGTCTGTACTAATAAAGTTTACATTTTCCATTCCATTTTTTTGCGGATAGAATATGTAGCTCATGATATTTCTATGTTTTTTTAGCATTAAACTTTGTAAAAGTCAAAATGTAACTTGTATACTATGTGGATTTTTTTTTAATGTTTGAAAAAAGCTTTGGTTTGTGAGGACTGAGTAGTGTGAAAGAATCTATTCTTTCTTTGGAGTTGCAAGCTCAGATAGACCTAAATAATTGATGCAAAGACAACTTAGAAAGATTCCTTTTATAATAGGCCCCACCCTCAACGGCCAGCACTAATCATTGCTGACTGCCTTCCCAACTTTGGATCGGCTCTAAAACATACTACCTCCGTCCCCTTTTTAGATTACAATATTTCATTTTAGACAAAATTAAGAAAGAGTCAAATCAGTATTTTTTTCCCAAACTACCCCCAAATAATATTGGAATGGATGGGTGGGTGAGATTTTGACATTGATATGATAAAGGGAAGGGAGGGTATAAGAGTCCATTTAGTGTAAAAGTAAACACTTTGTAATTCTTTTTGGGACAAAAATAAGAGGGAATATTGTAATCTAATTGGGGACGGAGGGAGTATGTTTCCTAATTCAATCATTTCTAGGGATACCCCATAAAGGGCCTGCTTGGGAATAACGTCAGCGATTAGCGTTAGCATTTTAAAAAGGCTATCTACGAGCAGCATTTAGCGTTAGCGTTTTCAAAATAATCTGCACCGTCAAAATTTTATCCAAAAAGCTAACGCTAATTTCTAACGCTATTCCCAAATAGGCCCAAAATATACTCCAAAGTGTACACTAAACATATGCAGTAATATTTTGATGATTCACACTGGCATAATATATTAATGTGATTAAAAAGATTTGTACTAATATATTGTGCATGTGTGAATCATTGAACTTACATTACATTGGCACCAATGAAAGTGTACATCTGTAGTGTATAATTTAGAATACAAATTTTGGAGTATAAGTAGCTTAATTCTTTCTAATTTTTATGCGTTCTTCTTACAGATATTCACAGACACATAATGGTATCAGATGTTTGTAATGTTTATGTGGTATTAGAACTGATTTCAAGGTTGAAACACACTTAACATTTTTCTAGAAACATTTGGTAATACTAACGCTTTCATATTAATGTGATCAATTTATATTAAAAAGACAAAAAGTCACCTGAAAGTCTATAAAATTTTTAAAGAAGAAAAAAGACGCGTCCTAACAATAAGTAATTGGATATTATTTTCTAATTGGGACTTATTTATATTTATTCTAAACATCATATCTATCTTATTATAAAGTAAGAGCGAAATTAGAAAATCATATCAAAATTTTCTATTTTTAGAGTGTTTTTTGTCAAAGTTTAATGAGAAGAAAGAAGTATACAAATTTCAAAATGAGACTTTTTAGTTCAAGTAGCATTTGTGTCCTTTTTCTATCTGAATGAGACTAATTTGGCTATGAGTCTTTGACTCTCAGGTACAAAAAATGAATGTCCGGCGCCACAACGGTCAAATACTTATAGCTTAGCTCTATTTCTTTGGTTCTTTCTTTTCACAAAATTGGGATTTTAAATGAATGAAGTACATAGTGTATTATTGGATGCATGGTCGGTCTTGTGTCAATGATTTTGGAAGTTCACTTGTCTTATTATGTTATATTTACTCTCTCTCACAAAAAAAATTAATGTTACACTTTTTATTTATAGGCAACACGATTTATTTTCCTTATTTTTATTAATTGTTTGATTTGTTAAAATGAAACAATTAAATTTATCATCTTTAATTTGTGGATCATTACTATTATTCGACTGAAATGAACATGAGGTGTATGAAGTGTACCTTAGCTGGTGCACACCCGACTTCTCACAGACCCACAAACAATTGTTGTTTGTGAGTGTCTATGAGAAGCGTGTTGTGCCCCTAGTGTACACCAGGTGGCACACCTAGGTTTTTCCAATGAACATATATAAGTACTCCCTACTATATAGGGATAGTAGGACTCAATCAACTCTATTTTATGGGGTCATGTTTGATTTCGAGCCGGGCAGAAACACTATAATTTAAGAATTTCTTAAGCCCGAGCCTGGCACGCATTCAAATACTTTTTAAAATAAATAATAAATATTAACATGTAACTTGTTTAATAATATAGGTAAGATAATTAACTACACTATATATCAAAAGAATGACTAATTTATGCAATCTGTTTTACGTGACATTGTATTACTCCCTCCGTTTTTTAAAACACTTCCTCTTTCATTTTTTTCACTTCCAACAAAACACTTCCACTTTCTATTAAAAAACTACTTTTACCCTTACTTTTTCATACCCTACCTATCACATCATACTTTATCTCTAATAATCTATCCATCACATCTTACTTTTACCTATCACATCAAGGGCAAAATTGAAAGTCAACTACAATTTAATACTTCCTTATTTTTACACAAAGTCAAAATAGGAACACTTTTTCCAAACGGAGGGAGTATAATTTATTTAGAAATTATTATTAATGTGCGATGAACAATAATAAAAATACATTCAGTTAGCAAAATGTTCGTATAATTCTTTGTTCATTTTAGAAATATATACACGGGTTATTATTATTGTTGTTGTTATTATTAGATAGTGCTGGACCGTAAGTTTAAACATAAAATCCGAGCCCGACAGTTAAGTTTGTGGTCTCTCATTTTCACTGGCCCGTTCGGCCCATATTCCAAAGCCAATGACCAACCCGTTATTTTAAGAGCGAGGCCAAGACCTGAGCCCATAATTAGGTAGGTGCTCCCGCCTTCGCCCGTCTGTAGCTAGGCCCATCCCTTGTAATAGAAACACATGCATATATATATATATATATATATATATATATATATATATATATATATATATATATATATATATATATATGTATGTATGTATGTATGTATGTATGTATGTATGTATATAGACACACACACGCACTCTTAAAAACTACTTCTCTTTTCTTTTTTTTATTATCTCACAAAATTATTTCATTTTCTATTAAAAATTACTATTATCAGTATTAATTCTTAACCAACTTATCATATCATATTTTTATATTACTCCCTCCGCCCCTTCAGATTTTTCCTGGTTCGCGTTATGATGTTTGACTGAAATTATTTTAAAATTCATTTTATATTAAAATTATCATAAAATTAAAAAATAAAAATTATATACTAAAAACTACATTAAAAGATTTTTAAAACTAGAGGTAACATGAATATATTATTATATCAAATTGGAAACGAAAATAAGTAAATTAAATAAATTAAATTTGACCCTGCAGATTGTAACGTAGAAGAACCTCAAGGGACGTAGGGAATAATAAATAATTTACTCATCACATCATACTTTTAGCCATTATATTAAGGATATTTATGAAAAATCAACACAAAATTATTTCCACTAAAAATTTCCTAAAAGTCAAAAGAGAAACATACTTGGAATCGGATTCTCGTACATACAACATGACCATGCACCAACAATTCTTTATTTTTTTTATTTTGAGTTAAAAATAAAAAAACTAAATTAAGTTACACCTCAATCGATGATCTCATGGATGGTGATGATGTTCCTGTTTGGGCAGCAATGACGCCGTCACGTTAGACATTTCCTGGAACAGACTGAACTCGAACGGAGTTTGTGGCATTTGACGGTTGGTAATACCGCCGCCGGCGCCGCCGCGATGACCTTCCTCCTCCTGGTGGTGGTTAATGTAAGGATCATGAGGAGGAGGAGGAGGGAAGTCCGCGGGGTGGAGCAGACTGTACTCAAACTGGGGCGGGGCAGCTGAGGTGGGCGGCGGCGGGGGGATGGAGAAGAATGTGGCGGCGGTGGCTCCACGGAGGGTGGAAGGGTAGTGGTGGTTGTGCTGTCCTTCGTAGGTGGTGATGACGGTGGTTGGGTCTTGGTACGATCTCTCCACACGCTTCTTCACTGTGCATTTTTGACTGGTGCATTTGTAATAGCTCCTGTAATCATAATAAGTACAGTTGGGTGGGTACTTTTTCCCCTTAATTTTTGGGACTTTTGATGGGACAATATACCTTAACATCAGGAATACCTATGCTACACAAAGACAAGAATATGTACCCTCACACGGTCAAGCTAAGTTTGACTTTGTCAGGTTATTAAAAAAAAGTTTAATAAAAAATTAATAAAGTGATTAGTTAGAATTGTGAATAATAAAAAGCCACAATGTTTTATTAACACTGGTTTTTAGTGTCAATGGATGACATTTACTCATTTCGAGTTTTTTCGGCATTCTATTATCAAAATTGATGGTTCACATAATAGCCACACATTTGGAGGGGGTAAAAGGAGGGTCTAGAGTGGAGTGCATGGGGCTAGGGTGGGGTGGGGGTGGGATGGAGGAGGGTTAGGGAGGGAGTTAGAGGGGATATGAACCATTAAAAAGTGGTGAACTTTACATTCAATTTAAATTAAAAAAAATAAATACGGAGTATATAAAAATAAAAAGTGTACGCACCAGCTTGTACTTGTTCCATTTTTGAAAAACAGTTTCTATATTCTAATAATTGTGACTCAATTATCTTACACATCTAATTCTATCTTATTCTAACATAAAAGAAAATTTAGAAAATAATATAAAAATTAAATATTTTTAGGGTGGCTTTTTGTATTTAAAATTTTTTATAAGACATAGAAAGTATATTAAATTCTATTTGAAACAAAGAGGTGCATGATTTCTGCGGATTATAAAAGTGGCAAAAAGTAAAACATGGACCTGGGTGATAACACAAGATTTAACATGCCACAAGAGCCCTGAATCATGGCGTAATTGACATGGGAGTACGTAGATCTGCCATGAATTTCTCTAATTAAGAATGACAATAATGGCTGAGAGTTGAGACCCTATAAACATGATACTCTCTATATAGATCCCTCTTTGATAATGTAGGGAGTATTTTGTCAAGTTTTATAAACTTCGATAACATAGTACACACACAAATAATAGAATTATAAATGCTTTTAATATGATTAAATTCATTTTGAAATGTAGTTTTCAAATATATTAGTTTTTGTCCAACGGCTTGGTATCCGACGTCCCGGGGTCTCTACTGTGCCTTGTTCGAAAAAATGTGATTCAAATCCTTGGTAAATCCCTACTCCGGCCCGACCCGAACTCCCCCTTCAGTTACACCTTTGATCCAAATTTTGGTAACTTTAGAGTTAAAATTTTAGATTGTTTAACATTGGGGTTTATTTAAATGTTACTGGAATCCCTCTATGTATAAATATTACTCCCTCCTGTCTAAAAACATGGAAGTTATTGATTTTTAAGAAATTTAAGAGAATTGTATTTTGGTTTTGAATTTCCAAAAAAGTCCGATCCTTTGATGTGATGGGTAAAAGTAAGATTTGATGTATAGATTATTAATAAAAAGGTAAGATTTAATAGGTAGGGTATGAAAAAGTAAGGGGTTAAAATGACTTTTTAATAGAAATAAAAAGTGTTTTTTGGACGGAGGGAGTGATAGCCAAATATGGGTATCAGAAACTTAGAAAAATTAAATTTTAAAAACATTTTAGGACAAAAGAAGAACTTTATAATTTGACTTTTAGAGTCAGAATTTATTAATCTTCACTATGATTTGTACTAAATTTATATTGAGTTATAATTTGACTTAAACATCATTAATATGATTGAAAATGTAGTTTTTAAATACTCATATATATATTTATAACATTTAAAGAAATCTTCCTGGATAGAAGTAAAAAAGTATGAGAATATCAAAATAGAAGTCATAAGTTTTTAAAGACAAAAATAAGAGTATAATAAATGGCAAAGTGGTGTAGGAGTATGCGTTGGCAGTGTGATAAAAAAATGATGGCAGTGTAATATATCAATATGATTGGTCAACCTTTGGCGAAGTGCAACGGCACTCTAGTGGCCATCAGCGACAGATGACTGGGCGGCGGTGATATTATGGCAGTTACAATGTGCCAACATGGTGAGTTAGCTACTATAAGAATGACATTGTGAACTTCTAGTTTGGTTTTAAATACTTATGACTTCTATTTTTAGTTTTTTCATAATTTTTTTCTCATATCTAGCTAGGAAGTTTTCCCTAACATTTATTTGTAGTTAATTACTTATATTAATTCTTGAAATATAGCACTAAAAGACCATGAAAGTAAAAATTTACTTCCTCCGCCTAGGAAAATAATTCCTATATTCACTTTGGTCAAAAATGAGGAAGAATTATTTAGAGTTGACTTTTCAATTTTGCCATCGATGTGATTGGTAAAACTAAGAAGTGATGGGTAAATTATTAATGAAAAAATTATGATGTGATAGATATGGTAATAGTTCGTAGGAATAAAAGTAATTTTTTGATAGAAAGCGTGAAAGGGTTTTAATGAAAGAGAAAAAAAATGAAAGAGAGCGAATTTGGGTAAATGAATAGAGTAATTAAACTTTAATTTCAAATTATCAAAATGTATAGTACTCCTTATAATCCATTTTTACACTATTGAAGATAATACTCACTTTGTCCCATAAGAAATTATCCACTTTGAATCACGTACAGAACCTTGTAATTTTATAAATAATTTTATTTATAAATTATTAAAATAAAAAATGTATATATTTAAAAACTAATTCAAAATTTCTACAAAATAAAAATTGATAAAAATATTTTATATTATCAAATAGTCAATGAAATCATGACCGAAAGAGTATATTCATACGGGCCTAATTAATTGAGACCCATCCCATCACAACCAAACTCATTTGTAGAGAAATGTTACCTTTGATTTTTGTAAGAGGCTTCTCCCGGGAGATGCACACAAATTTGTCTAATTAAGAAGGCCAATAAGAGCATGTAAATGTATATTTCCCCATAATATACGGATTAGAAGTTAAGCAAGTCAAGGGCAATAAGAAATTAGGCTAAAGAATTGAATTTCTTCTTTCTTTTCTTCCTAATAAACTCAAACTTACTTTTTTTTTTTGGAGTAGAATTCAAGGAGAAAGAGGGAGTACAAATTTGATCAAACATTTACACTATATTTGGTTCAAAGAATTTGAGAGAGAAAAGAAAAGAAAATGAGAAGGAAAACATTTTTCTTATTTGATTAGAGAGATTTGATTAGAGAGGAAAAAGAAAATGAAAAACAAAATGTATTAAAAGGATGGAAAATCAAATTCCTCCCATTTTGGTGAGAAACTGAGGATAGATCATTATCTTTTTGTTTTCTCCTAAATTCCTTGAATCAAAGATAGTATTAAGAACTTCACATACATTTAGAATCATGTGTGATGAAATCAGAAACATTTTTATACCTGGGAAAGGGGCTATTTTTGACGGCCTTCTGACCATATTTTCTCCATCTAAATCCGTCTTCGAGATTATCAATTTCACTCTTAGTAAGGAAGGCGTAACGAGGCTCCCTTACCCTTTTCTCCTCTTTCTTCTTTCCCTTGTTATTGTTGTTGTTCCTGAAATGTGGTGTGTTAGAACTACTTAAGGCCTATAACTACCTAATTCATCACCAAATATATATAGTAACCCTATACAATATGGGCCAAATTTAGGGTTTCTGTTTCTATCATTTCAATGGCTTCATGTAGCATATGTATCATTGACCAAATCAATTAATTGAACTGTGATTCCAACCAATAGGCAAACATAATTTCCATTTGAACGAGTTACTCCCCTCCTAAATAACTTTGTTCATTTTTTTTACATACAGACTACATTAAAAATTAAATGTATTATTTTTTTTACATACGGACTACGTTAAAAATGAAATGAATGTAGATGTGCATTACGTCTATATTCATTTCATTCTTAATGCATCTAGATTATAATATAATGGACGGCTATTTATAAAAGTAGTAAAAACACTTAGATTTGAACTAGGAGAAATCAATGGGCAATTAATTTACCTAAATAGACTTCAACAAAAATTTAACACCCCTTTGACATATACTACTAGAAATTAAAACAAGAATTGAAAAAAAAATAATTTAAAAAAAAACAAATAAATTAAAAACCCTACACTGTTTTCTTGGACTTTACTTGATCTCTAGCTCCACATGAATCTTTAACAATAATCTCTGGGCTTTTCTTGTCAATCTTGTCCTCTCCCTCTTCTCCTCCTCCTCCTCCAAGCTCGCTTGAAGAAGAAGTCCCGTCAGCAGCTCCCTGCGCAGGCAGCTGCTGATGGTCCGAGGAAGAGGAGGGAGGACAGGCGGCGGCGGCGGGCTCCGGGAAAAACATCTGGAAATCACTGGAGAAAGCTGTGGTGAAGTCTATGTAAGGGGAAGGATCGAATAATTCTTGATGAACAAAAAAATTGTGGCTGGGAGAATTAAGAGAGGAAGCTGCGGCCGGCTTCCGATCGTCGTTGTTTTCGTCTCCGAAGAAAGGGAATATGTTGTTTCCTGCTCCCATGTGGTCGTGGAAGAAGTGGTTTTCCGACATAGATAGATCTAAAATCACACGGCCTGGCCTGGCCTGGCCTGCACACTTTTGGTAAATAAGCCTAGAGAGAGAGAGAGAGAGAGAGAGAGAGAGAGTAGGGATTTTCCAAAGTTTCTTTGTTTTTTAAGAAGATGAAAGTGAAGCCATTAGAGAGATAGAGAGAGCGAGAGAGAGAGAGAGAGAGAAATGGGTGTGTGAATATATAAAAGGTAGAAGAGACTTTCAGGTCAGCTTCCTCCCTCCATTAAAGAGAGAAAGAAGAACAGATAGACTTTTTATGCTTTATTAGCTGCCTAGAAGTTACTCAGGGTCAGGGTTAGGGATACAACCGGTTGGGGGTGGGGGTGTGTCCGGGGCGGGGCAGGGTGGGGGGGTTTACCCTGAGGTTAGGGGTTGGAACCGTCAATTTTACGTACGAACGAGACACGTACTGGAGTACCCCGGCCGAGTCATCCCATGACATTGATGATCTCCAATATCATGGAAACCGGCCCCTATTTTTATTAGGGCTGTAAACGGATAGCCGAAAATCCGATTACCGTCCGCATCCGTATTTGTTTAAAGAGGAAATATCCGCATCCGTTTTAAACGGATATTATCCGTATCCGATTAAGGATATCCGATTACTAAACGGATACGGATTTGGTAATTGTATATCCGATCCGTTTAAAATCCGATCCGGATATGCATCCGTTTAGATAATCGTTTATCCAAATATCTGATCCGTTATATATAATTTTTCCTATTTTTATGTTTCTATTTTGTTTCTCTATTGATATTTCAGAGTATCAGAAATTTTTATATACAAAATAAATTTGTAGACACATAAAAATATGTGCAGACATATAAAAATATGTGTATATGTGTGCCGTATATATATTTTTATTATATGAAGTTATCGTAAAATGTCATAAATCATGACAACAAAGAAAATAATTATCCCATAACAAATTATAGTTGATTTAATAATAGTTTGACTTTAATATAATTTAAAATTAAAGTATTGTCTAATTTGATTTTAAAAATTAGAAACGGATACGGATATATCCGATATCCGACCGATATCCGACGGATGCGGATACGGTTTTGATTTTCAGTATCCGTCAAGATCCGTATCCGAATTCGATATCCGACAAAAATAAACGGATACGGATTTGGTAATGGCACATCCGATCCGATTAATATCCATTTACACCCCTAATTTTTATTGTTCTTTTAAAAGTACTCCCTCCGTCCCAAAAAAATTTACACCTTTCAAAAAAATTACGTCACACAATCTCCTACCCATTTCTATTAAAAAACCGTTTTTACCCCTTACTTTTTCAAACCCTACCTATCACATCATACCTTTTTCCTAATAATCTACAAATCACATCCTACTTTTACCCATTACATCAAGGGTATTTTTGAAAAGTCAACACAAAATTATCCCTCCCTTAATTTCAACTTTAGTCAAAACGTGTAAATCTTTTTGGGACGGAGGTAGTATTTGTCAAGTTACTACATACGGAGTATTTATCAAAATGAGCTCTAGAATAAAAATGTTCAATGCAAGAAATACTTCCTTTTAGTCGATAAAGTCTATTCCATTTTGACTTTTATACTGTGTTTGGTTCAAGAAAATGATTTTCTCTCATTTTCCTCACCAAAATGGGAGAAATTTTGGTTTTCCTCCTCTTAGTACATTTTACCTTCTCATTTTCTTTTCCTTTCTTTTCCTCTCTAACCAAACAAGAAAACATATTTCCCACTTAATTTTCTTTTCTTTTCCCTATCAAATTGCTTGAACCAAACATAGTGTTAGGAAATTTAAGGGAATGATAATTTTGTGTTGATTTTCTAAAAATAACTTTGATGTGATGACTAAAAATAAAATGTGATGGATAGATTATTAGTAAAAAGATATGATATGACAGGTAGTATAAGAACTATCAAGTTTACAAATGAAATATTGTACTCCCTCCGTTTGCAAAAAGACTTCCCATTTATATTTGGGGGCAAAAATAAGGAAGTTTTAAATTATACTCCCTCCGTCCTATATCTTTCTTCCCGTTGCGCAAAACGAAGAAAAATCCCAAGTTTTTTCAATCTATTTTATTTAAATATTGGTATAGAAATAAAAAATAAAACATACATATTTAAAAACTACGTCAAAAGTTCAACAAAACAAGTGGTGACAAGAATATTTTATTTTATCATATAGGCCATGAAAAAACACAAATAAATATAAATTCCCGTGAAGTTGGAATAGTGCTCTGGGAAGAAAGTTTTAGGATGGATGGAGTAGTTGATTTCTAATTTTTCCCCTGATGTGATGGGTAAAAGTAAGATATGATGGATAGATTATTAGAGGAAAAAGTATGATGTGATAGGTATTGTATGAAAAAGTAAGGGTAAAAGTGGTTTTTTAATAGAAAGGGGAAGTGTTTTGTTGGAAGTGGAAAAAATGAATAAGGAAGTGTTTTTTTAGAACAGATGGAGTAAATGTTAAAATAAGATCGAGTAGGTGTCATCCGTTGGCACACATTTTGAATGTCAATAAAATCTAGCTCAAAAGAATTTTGTTTTTGGTTAATTTGGAGACATATAGAGAGAGCAAAAAGTAGAGTTATCAATTAGGTGTAGAGTGAAGGGCAAATGGATAGGGTATAATATGGTCGTCGACCTTTAATTTTTTATACTCAACAACTTGTCAATTTACCAGTTTGTCTAGAAATATACTCCCTTACTCTCCTTGTTTTTTTTGGACAAACCTTCGTCCCCATATTTCATTACATACAATACATAGTTTAAACTATTTCAAGTTTTTTAACTTATTTTGTTTATAAATTAAAATAAAATTAAAAATATATGACTTATTAGTACATATTTAAAAATTACGTCAATAATTTTACAAATAATAAGTGACAATAATATTTTATTTATCAAATAGTTAAAGAAAATACACAAGTAAAACCAGTTCTTTCAAAGTCGGAATCGTATATGGCAATCCATGGTGGGAGGGAGGAAGTATACTTAGGAGGGTGTATTCAATTAGAAGTCTGTAAGATTTTTTTAGACTTTAAGAAGTCGGTGGATTTAGAAAATCCATTGACTCCATGCAGAGTTTGGAAGACTCTTTTATTGATTTACATGGAATTTTATATACTTGAGGAGATTTGTTTATTGATTTAGATGGATTTCATGTTTGTTCAACTTTATTGTTCATCCATATTGAATCAAGTACAAATAAAATAAGCACTACAGAATTCAAGTACTGCAAATTTTTTTTAAACAAGGACGGCAAAATCAAATAATCTAATAAGCACTGCAATTCTGCAAATAAGTACTTCAAATAAGCACTGCAATTTTTCAAGGAACACACAAATACATAATGAATGAAAACCTCTCAAATACCACTAAGAAACACTATAGACTTGCGGAACTTCCTGGTCACCAACATCCTCCAGCCATGGGACAGCACCTGGTATTCGGATGGTATACAGTACCTGGTAGAGCTCGTCCCGGAACGGTATGTTGCCGACTTTGGATCTGTTGTACGGCGACGACGGGCACTTCGAGGTGTAGATGCTGAGGAATCCCCGCTCCACTCGGGCATCTCCGTGCCCGATCGGCTGCAATTTGTTCTGCGTGTTCTCGTACCACTCCGTCGGCGTCACCGTCCCCCGCCACGCGACCGCGATGTCCCTCCGCCCGATCTGCCGCGTCTCCTCGTCGTCGCTCACGGCCACGAATCCGATCCAATTCGAGTCCTTGCTCCATCTGTTGACCCGTCGCTGGGGATTTCTCTGGGATTGCTTGTTTAATTTTGGGACTCTAGGTCTGCAGGGGAGATAGAGGGTGGGGATGACCGGAGAAGATGAAGAACCGTGCAGGAAGAAGAGAGAAAGATCCGATAGATTTGGAGTCCAACAAAATCCCTAGGCTTTTGGTTGGATTTGAAAACAAAATACTCCCTCCGTCCAAGAATAATCTTCCTACTCTACCTTTTTTCCCGTCTGAAAAAAATCTTCCTACTCTACGTTTTCATACCCTCTCTTCCAAAAATACCCCTCTCATTAAATCTCACCCATTATTCCTAACTACACCCCTCCCCCCCTCATTGAATGTATCGTCAACCGTCCTCATTCACTCCTCCCCTCTCCCTATCTTATCCGATCACAATCTCCATATCCTCCTCAAACCCTTCACATCTTCCGATCTGAACTCTTCATTTTCTCTATCTCCAAACTCAACTGCTTCGTCTCCTAGATCTGCAATGGATTCGTACGATTTGCGCTTCGAATCCATTATCCCGGAGACACAATTTGAGGATATTGGAATTGATGATGGGGATTTCATCTCTGACAAGGTGGAGGACGAGGTCATCGTCATCGCCAGCGACGACGATATGGCCGATGTTGCCCGGTCAGAGAGAGGAAGGACGTTGTCCTTCTTGAATCTTAGAAAGACACTGTTTTTCTTCTTGGGAGGGAGGAGCCTAACTTCGTTGTTCTAGACGGTGATATTGATGATGCTGATTGGTGCGAAAAAAGTGAGATTGAGCCTACTCAGGCAATAAACTCACGCATGCATCTCCACA